TTTTAGCTAAACATTTTTTGATAGATTTTTAAATTTTTGTTACAAGTCGGAAAAAATCGAATCCGGACGAATTAGCAAAATCGTTGCAACAGGTGGTGAGATAATTAGAAGATAAGGAGAAGAAGAATATCTACCATCGAACATTAACGTGAAGAGAAGTAAAGTAATCGATGACGATAAATCGATAAATTTTGTTAACATTTTTTCAAGTAGGTTTTATTTGTAGAATTTCAACTATTTTTTTATACTTGTTTTAATTTCACTTATTAAATACATTTTAAAGTAGTAAATGACGTTGGCATCATTTGTTAGTTTCTTTAAATATTCGCTAATGGTGTCATTCTTAAGCTTTCCACACATTGGCGCGAAATATTCGTCGACTCACGGTCTTTGGCGTGTAACGAGGAGCAACAAACTGGCGCGAAAAATTCGCTTGGCGACAACGAAACTCCAGCGAATTTTATTTCTTTTGCGACCAGCCGCGTTTTCCGTCGTTTTCGTTGCGAATCGAAGATGGCTTCAACTGAAATGTTAATAGAGTTTGTGGAGAAATATCCGAATTTATACGATTTAAGCCATGAATATTACAAAAATATAAGAAAGAAAGTTATGTTATGGGATGAAATTGGGCAAGAGATACATATTACAGGTAGGTATTTAATTTTGAAACATTAAAAAACAGGTTTTTTATTGTATATTTTGAATTAATTCTTACTTCTGCTTTTTGTATCCTAATTTGTAAATACGATGATAGGTATAATACTGTGGTATATCATTGATTCTTTGATTAAAGAAATTAACAATTTTTTTTCGAGTAGCGAATGCAATATTTGTTGCACGTCTTGGGTCCCTTTGTATATTGTTAAATGCTCTTCCTATGTTTTCCTCAAACTCTGTTGGTGGTAAATCGAAATCTTCTCGGTCATTTCCTCGAGTTCATAAAAAATTATGCAAAATGCACGCTGTCTTCAGAATCAAAATAGGCCTTAAAAATATTCGCCATTTTTGGGCCAAAATGCCAAAGGCTCTCACATTTCACCTCTCTTTTAGCTCTGCACAAACGAGTATTAAAATTCTCTATACGTCTGTCTGTTCTGGATTGCTTATATGGAAAATGTCGCATTAGATAAGGCTTCAAGGCAAACGCCTCATCCCCAATTAAAACATGCGGACAAGGTTCGTTTTGCCCAGGAAGATTTTCATTCATTAAATTAGCTTCAAATCTCTGTTCCATATTCGAATTCTCAAATATGCCCCCATTACTATTTTTGCCATAACCCCCTATATCCACACAAATAAATTTATAGTCAGCACTAACGATCGCCATCAGTACTATAGATAATTTTTTTAAATAGCAAAAATTATTTGATCCACTTTTCGGTGGGCATTTTATTGCGACATGTTTGCGATCAATACTACCAATACAGTTTGGAAATTCCCACAATCTTGAATATTGTTCAGCAGAACTTTTCCATATTTCTTTAGTCGACACTGGTAGATATATATGTATGTATGATGTATATATTATTACTCGGATTCAAACTCGAATAATTCGAGTATTCGAGTATTCGAATATTAAAAAAGCGAATATTTATGTCTAGTCATAACTCGAATACTCGAATATTCGAATACTCGAATACTCGAATAATCGAATACTCGAATACTCGAATACTCCAACATTATCAAACTCTCGGGGTGCAAATATCTTTATATGCACTTTGTATACTTTTATAAAATAACTGATTCATATTCTACAAGGATTTAAACAACTACCAATATATTTACAAGCAAATGAAAATAATCATACCCTCCTGCAAATTAATATAAAATTACGTCTCTGTGTTCTGGTGATTCGTGTCACCAACTTTTGCGCGGTGTTACAATTAATGTGCCGACAAAGGCACTTTTTCGATTTTTCTTCTTGGAATTCTTCTGGTCGCGAAAGAAATAAAATTCGCGGGAGTTTCGTTGTCGCCAAGCGAAATTTTCGCGCCAGTTTGTTGCTCCTCGTTATATGCCAAAAACCTTCTAGTCGACGAATATTTCGCGAGGCGAAAATTTCGCGGTCGCACTGAATTATTCTTGCTAGTGTGTGCAAGGCTTTAAGCTGCTTAATTTCTTCCTTTAATTGAGTGGTGAGATCATTTAAAATAGTTTTATTTTGCGAGGATCTGGTGTGTTGCCATTTTTTTCCTTGCCTTTCGCTTTTGTGCAATCAATTCTGCAATTTATGTGGGATAGTTATTACCTTTCAATTTCCTTCTAATTTCAGGGGTGTTTTCCATGAAGATTTTTGGATGTCATTGACGAACTTCTCCACTTCAATATCCAATTGTTCCTTAGTTTGTCGTGGGGTTACTAATTTTATTTTTTCTTCTAACGTTAACCTGAAGCCGTCCCAATCTGTTTTTTTATTGACTAGCATGGGATTACAGGACTTTTCGACGATATTTTCACTTAAGGTTAAAACTATTGGGTATGGTCTGAAATTAGCTCCAAGTTGTCTTCTATTAGTATATAGTTCCAAGATATGTTTTTGGTGACGTAGAAATCTAACAAATCAGAAATTTTGTCAGGATCTGTGGGCCAATAGGTGCCCCGTCATATGTTGATCTTCCCGTTGATATTCCCTCACACTTGAATTCTTGAATTGCCTGCAGTAGTTCGCTTCCTTTCGTTGTTATCAGTCTCGATCCCCATTGGGTGTGTTTTGCATTATACTTTCCTCCTATGATGAATCTACTTCCAATCGGTTTACAAATTTCGATGTACCTTTCTGTCTTAATGTTGTGTTTCGGTGGACTATAAGGGCAAGTTCATAATGATTGATGTTTTCCTTTACTATTACCGCACTTCCTCCCTTTGCTTTATTGTCAGAGTGAATAGTGTGGTAGGTATATGTTATGACCCTTGATTTTAATAAAGGATTGCTTTGTGAAATGAGTTTCTGAAATGAAATACGCCAATTGTTTATGTCCAGGATTACTTAACGTTCTTCTTGATGCTTGAGCAATCCATTTGCATTCCAACACATGCTTTTTAGTGTATAAAGCTGGATTGAAGCTGGATTTGTAGTCGCCGTAACTTAAGCCGTAAGACGTAAGACGTAAGAAAATAAACCACTGAATAGCAGTGTATGCATTCATAGCCGCCGTATCGAAACGCAAGACGCAAGCCGAAATGGTTCAATTCTATTTCTTGCCTTACGTCTTACGTAAAGCGTTGCCATTCCGCTACTTTTAAAGCTTCCAGCGGCGAATGTTGCATCGCAGACCTGGCAACATTAAATGGATTGTTGGATTATGCTTTAATTTCTGCAGATTGTGCGGCATGGAGCACAATAGATGCATAATAACCCACCAGCCACAATAATTTCGTCGTCTGAATCCATTTTTACCTGTCTTTATCTATGATTTTACCAATAAAAATTGTTATGCGGTTGTGATAAAATAACCTCTATAGCATAGCCTAGCTTTACCGAGCATTATAACCTAGTTTTAGTTAACTTTTACTGTTACGTCTTACGTCAACTATGAATTAATTTGCTGTTTTTCCTTGCGTTTTACGTATTACGTCTTAAGTCTTACTTACGGCTTACGTTTCACGTTACGGCGACTATAAATCCAGCTTTATAGTCGCCGTAACGTAAAACGTAAGCCGTAAGACGTAAGACGTAAGAAAATAAACCAATGAATAGCAGTGTATGCATTCATAGTCGCCGTATCGAAACGCAAGACGCAAGCCAAAATGGTTCAATTCCATTTCTTGCGTTACGTCTTACGTAAAGCGTTGCCATTCCGCTACTTTTCCAGAGGCGAATATTGCATTGCTGACTTGGCAACATTAAATGGATTGTTGAGTTATGCTTTGATTTCTGCAGATTGTGCAACATGTAGCATAATAGATGCATAATAACACACCAGCAACAATAATTTCGTCGTCTGAATCCATTTTTAGCTGACTTTATCTATGATTTTACCAATGCTGTTTGCTTCAAATTACGAAAATGTTTAATATAAAAAAGTTTTCTTCTACAATTTTTTGATAAAAAAGCACAGCGACAATGATTTTTTTGTCATTAACAGATAGTTACAGGTGGACAGCCCTTGTCAATAATAACAATAATCTGTCAAACTGTGACTTACTTTGAATTTGCTTTCACGAATTTGCGGATATGCGATTAGTTCAGGGGAAATGCTACAGTAACATAGCAGATGCTGAAAAAACTCAGGGCAACAAAGGGCGAGAAGAGTGGTTCCAGGCACAGAGGAACAAGTATTGGACATAATTGCAGCACAGCCTTCCAGGGGCACTCAGAATATTACACAACCACTGACACTTTCCCAGGCACCAAATAAATATCGGCTACATTCCTACCACGTTTGTACGATACACACAGCACAAGGAGATAGAAATGGAGCACGAGTTAATTAACTGAATACGAGAAGCTGCTTTTTGTTTGCTTTTGCTGTTTATCCTTGTCTATCTTATTGTCAGTCTGTATAATTCCATGGTTACCGGAGTTTTAAATAATTACGAAGCCACAGGTACTTGGGCAATGTTAATTAGGCAGATTACCTGCAAAAACATTACCTCCGTATTTCTGATATAGTTTTTGCAAATTTCTCAGTTTTTAATAACAATTAATTTATTTTACTATTTTTTCGCTACTCCTATAACAGCGCCAGACAACACCTCCAGAGGAATGACGCCAATTTTGAATCACCCTGCATTTGTGCTTACTTTCATATTGGTTATTATAGCATTGTTGTTTGCTTTATCAGCTTGCCATGCATTCCTTAAATTTGATTTAGGCTGCGTTTGGGGGATAAAATTTGTCATCACTGCTGGCAATTCTTTAAGTTTGCGCACTAGCAGTTCACTATTATCTCACATTCTTCAAATTCAGTTAAGTTTCCACTGCTTATTGATGTTTTAAGCAATATATTTTGCAGCCAGAAGCACCTGCTGGGTTAAATATTTCACTGACCGATGGAATCTCGAAAGTTTTTATACAAAACTGTCACGAAATAACTAACAATCGCTGGTCTGAAAACACGTCTGTACGCGACGGTGTACACGACGAACACTTATGTGACTTATGACAATTATGTTTGAAACAAAATATTAGCCAAATGTTCGCCACGCAGTTCGCAGAATCGCTACTAAATAGTTTGAGCAATCTGCAAAATTTGGTACTCTTTAGTCAATGTGAGTATCACGTATGTATAATCTTCCCATTGACCAGAAAATGTGCATAATACCTGATGCTGCGAGACTTTATTATTATACGTTATTTTTTCCAACGGAACTTTGCTGTTTAGTTTTATACAGAACTTTTACTGTTTAGTACCTTGAGTACAGCAGCACCCTGCTGGTGCAGGTGCTGTAATAATCAATGCCTCATAGCCCGTTGATATTTACGCAAGGTAAATTACATCTCTCCCTATAAATGGTGCGATATGTATTCTTTGGAGGGTGGTTTCTATGTTCTTCGTAAATTGAAACATGTTTTTATTCACATTTTCCTTGTGTCTTTGGATCCAGCGCCTGGGTTTCTTCGGACAGAATCGTATCTGTCTCTGGTTAACCTGTGCTCTGCTAAGGCCGATTGATTAACTTGTCCTTGCCTGCAACTCCTGTTGTGTGCAGTTAGCCTTGTCTGGATGCTTCTTGTGTAATGCCTATATAGACCGATCCGCACTTGCAGTTAATACGGTGAAGTCCGAGACTATATTTGAAGGTTTTTGCACCGGTTGGTATATTCACCGAGCTCGTACGGCCAGAATCTTGATGACCCCTTTCTTCTGCTTCGGATGATAATTTGAGAGTATCTATAGGTATGAGTTGGTTTTCTACAGGGCTATTCAGATTATACGACACGGAAGATTGCGGCTAAACTTTTTCATTTTAAAAAGTATCATTTTACCAATAAATGGAGACCAGTTGGAGATACCTTTTAAAAAATTATTTTATATATGTAAGTACAGTGTGTCCCAATTATTAGACTCAACCCAAAGTTTAAAAATTTAGAACTTAATTTTACATTGAAGTCTGCTTGCTGATCTTTAATTGGGTATTTAAATTTTTAAATTTCACACACGCAATTACGAAATTCGCCTTACTGGATTTAATCCAGTGTGTCCTCTTTTTAATAAATATATTGTAACATTCAATACATGTAAATAAATTAATTGATTAGTAAAGTTGTTGAATTGCAGATAATGATAATCAAGTCAGTTGCTCGTACCTCACTACAATGCTTACGAGTGTAAAAAGAACACGTGCAGATAAAAGTTATCATTCTAGAATTTGAACAATGAATGCAACCACAGCAATATTTTAATTGGCTGTAGTAATTTTTCATTAACTTTTTCAAACCCTGGTCATTTAATCATTTAATAAGATATTAAAGAGACATTTGATCTTTGCTGTTAATTTACATCCTTTTTACGTTATATCTCTAGATAAAGTGGCTTGAGTTGTACCATTTGCTTTGATTGTGAACACGACAACTGCGATGTTAATAATTTCATCGGATTACTCACTTCTGATACAGAAACATTAGAAATTATAATGGAATAATATGCTTTATGTGCCACGAAATTTGCTGAGTACATAAAACTTTATAAGATAGACGCACTTTGAATAAATGTAGGAATTCTAAGCAAGTTCCAGCAGTATTTATTAAAGATAGTTTTTTTCAGCCCTCTCGCATCCATACTTGCACATAGTCTCCCTTAACGACTGTTATCTCTCGCGGTTTTTAGCTATTTTTATCAATTTTAGTCCGCAGTTCCGTTGGTGTCATCCTTCCATCTTATATTCGCTCGACCTCTTGAACTCCTCCCAGCCATAGTCTCCATTGTATAATTTTAGTGTTCCGTCTCTTGTCTCTCTTTGCTACATCTGAGCAAGGTCCCATTTCATCTGAGTTACCTTTTCTATTACATCCTTGACCTGGGTATGTTATCTTATGTATTCGTTTGTCTTCCTGTCTCTTAAGGAAATACTCGTCATTGTCCATTCCATACTTCTTTGTGTTTTTATTTTTTTATCGTGAAAGCTGCCCAGCTTATACGCCTTCTTAGTTCTATTTCAGAATATGTATTTTCCTTTCCTAATTGAGTTTGTTTTCCAAGGCAAATGTACTCCTTGACCTTTTCTAAATGATTGTTGTCTATACTTATGATCGTCTCTTCTTCCCGGCTCATAATTTAAGTTTTCTAAACGTTCATTTTTAAAGTCACATTTTTTTATTTCTTCTTTAATTCTCCTAAAATTCTGCAAGTAACTTATTTGTCCGTTATTATCACCGCAACATTAGCAAACTTTAGCTGATTTAGCCTTTCTCCATTGATATTGATACCTCTATTTGACCAATCAAGTTGTTTGAACACGACCTCTCGCGTCCGCGTAAAGAGCTTTTGGGACAATATGTCTCCTTGACGAATACCTCTCTTTATTGATATTGATTGGAAATCCTCGTGTATTCCTATCGTAGCTGTTGCTTTTTTGTAGATGATTTTAATCAGACCCATGTATCTACTATCTATCCGTGCGTCTCATCCATTTCTTTCATGACTGCCCAGTGCTCTATGCTATCAAAAGTCCTTTTATAATCTACGAAGGACATGCATAAAGATATGTTGTATTCGGCTGCTTTCTCGATTAGGATCCTTATTGTTAGAAGATGGTCTGAGCTGATACCTTTGCGGAACGCTGGTTGGTCTGGAGATTGACAGTGATCCAGGTTTTTTTGTTATTCTGTTTGTTATTATCTTCATTAAAAGTTTATATAGATGGGGAAGCAAGCTTATGGGTCTGTAGTTTTCAAACAACCTTCTGTTTTCTTTTTTATGTAGTATGATCATGATTGCATCATTCCAGTTGTCAGGTATCTTCCTTTTTTTGAGCAGGCATTATGTAGTTTTGTTAACTTTGGCATAACTATACCTTGAGCTTCTTTTACCATTTCGATGAGAATAATGTCTACACCTGAGCTCTTTTTATTCTTCATAAAACTTACGGCGTGGATGACCTCTTCGTCATCTATTTCTTCTATATCCTCTGAACCTACGTTTGCAACTCTTCTCTTCATAATTTTATCTGGTTTCACCACTTTTGTGTCATATAGGATTTCATAGAACGTCGTACTTATTTCTACACACATTTGATCTTCATTTATCAACAGGCTATCGACCTATCGGTCTTTCTGCCCTTGCATATATACAAGTAATTTGTATCCTATAATCAAATTTAAATATAAAGTACGAATCAAATTTAATACTAATTAAAAAAAAAATTCAGATTCTGTATCATGTCTCTTCATCGTCCAGTAGGTTGGTTCGGTAGTGTTGGAAGTGATCAAGTAGTTTTGTTATTGGGAAGCGAAAGCGGGATTGTCTCGTTTGTCGTGTAAGGCAAAGGGGATTCAGTGAAGTCCGCTTGTTGGGATTGTTGTTCCATTTTGTTCATAGTTCAAATTGTCTTTCGGTTATTCTGGTTATTTTTGTTCGTTCGTTGAGTAGTTGGTTTGAGGGGTTGTGTAGTTTATTGAGTTGGTTGAGTCTTAATTTGGTACATAATTGTTCTCAGTGCAATCTGTTCTGTTGTTTAGTTTTTCTTGATGCATTCGCTGTTATTATATGTCCGTAGTCAAGCAAAGGTCTACATATTGATTGGTATTTTCTTTGTGGCGGTCGTTGTACTAATTCCTTTGTCTTTGTACGTCAGTGATCGGAAGTGTTTTGTCCGTTAAATTATTTTTGTTCTGAGGTTCTTTGCGTGTTTTGTAAATTTAATTTAATGGTCCAGTCTCGTCAGTGTCGTTCTGAAGCATTTTGCCTCTTGTTTTGGTCTAGTTGTGTTTCCGTCTGTTATTATCGTCGGAGAGTCATCTTAGATTTGGTGGTTTGGTAGAAGTAGTTATTTTTTTCTGGGGTTTGGTGTAAATCTCCATTTGTAGAACCAAGCAATTGTATTGTCTGTTAGTGTTTGAAGTTTTTGTATTGCTTTTGCAGTAGCTTTGTCGTGCATGATCAATTCAGTGTTGTCGGCGTATTGTAATGTGTACGCAGATTTGTCAATGTGTCGTAGAGGCCGTGATTGTATATGTCGAGGTAGTATACAGGGTTGCTCATTAGTGCGTCAAAGTGCGATATCTCAGTAAATATGAACTTTACAAGAAAATACGTCCTACGAAAGTTTTTCATTTTTAAAAGGTCCACATTTTAAAATTACTTTCTAATATACGGGGTGTATCATAAACGTGTGGTAGTTACCAACTTTGGTTTTTTAAATGGAACCGCCCCTTTTTTCACTCATTTTCAGATTTGCCGTCAAAATTTAAGTTAAGTTTGTGTCAAACGTTTTACCTGAAAAATTTACGATTTCCGAGTTATTCGTAAAAATGTGAAAGTTTTGACAGCTACTGGGTTCCACAGAAATCGATGCTGTACACTACCCGCTGCAAATTTTGGAAAACAGTTTTCAGCGATTCTAACAGAACATCATGATCTACGCGCAGATATGTTTTAAATTATAAGAAAATACTTCTAAACCGCGCAATTAGCCTCTAAACTTGCATGTTTTTAAACCTCAAAAAGTTGCTTATTTCAAAT